AAGTTGTGAGTGTCACAGGGAAGCAGAGGGAAGCTCTCCGTGGGGACGGCGTCCACTCCGGCCCCAACTGCCTAGACCCCCTGGTGGAGCCGTGTGCTCTCACCTGGTTGGCGCCAGGCCTTCTCCCGACGCGCAGGGCCGGGCGGCCGGGCCCAGAGGCCGTGCCGGAGGAGCCTTCAGGGTGCAGCCCGGGCTCCACCCCAGCCGTTGTGTGCGCGCTGAGGCCGCCTCCCAGGCCCGCTTCTGTAAACAGGGGCCTCGTGGCTCACGGCGGGGGTCAGACGAGACGCAGCCCCGAAGCTGCTGGGGCTCGCGCGCGCGCTGAGCACTTCCTCTCCCGCCAGCCCCGTGCCAAGCCCTGCAGGCTCGGGAAGCTCAGTTCCGGGAGCCGGAGAAAGGAAGGCACGATGCCATCTCTTTCTGCGGTGCAGGGATTATGGCCATGTCATAAGTCGACGGCAGGACCCTGTGGCAGTAGGAGGTTTAGTCCTCGCCCTGAGCTGATCTGGGTGACCTCTGATGGCAGACGTGCTCTTTGTCTATAACTGATGGTCTCTCTTCATGAGCACGTGTGACCCAGGGGCCCAGGAGCAGGGACCGGCTTCACCTGAGGGAGGGGCGGGGAGCCAGCCCCCCAGCAGACACTGAGCCCCACCCCCCCCCCCCCATCATTCTCCTCTAGCCTGTGTGTCTTGATGTCTGACTGGTTCAACTTCCACGGTCACATGTGCATCGCCTTTGAGCTCCTGGGCAAGAACACCTTTGAGTTCCTGAAGGAGAATAACTTCCAGCCTTACCCCCTGCCGCACGTCCGGCACATGGCCTACCAGCTCTGCCACGCCCTCCGGTGTAAGTGTGCGCGCCGCCACTCCCCCGTTCACACCAGCTGCCGACCATTGTGCCCGGCCCGAGAGGCGCCGGGGCCCCTTGGGCTGAAAGGCCTTCAGGGAGGACTCTGGGAGGAGGGAGAGGCTTCGGTCGCCTCCAGGGGCGCCTGAGCCCGCCTATGCCCCGGGCACTCAGGAAGAAAGGAGAGAGCACTCCAGAATCTGCCCAGCTCGCCGTCGCCTCTCGCCGTGCCGCAGAGGGTGGAAAGGTCGAAGGCTGACTGGTAGATCCCAGCCCCGGGCGCTGCCCACGCACACGCCCTCCGTCCGACAGTCCCTTCCCATCTGCCTGCCGGCCTTTGGGAGCCTCGTTTGGAGGTGCACGTGCCGCGCGCCGCGGGGTGTGGTGGTCCGGGCAGGGCAGAGGCTCCTTGGAGAGGAGGTAGATAGGCCTAGAGGTAGGCTGTCCGGGGTCCGCACAGATGGAGGGGGCAGGGACGAGCCCTCCCAGCGAGGGGAGCGGCTCAGTGAGGGCCCAGACCCCGGCGCGTGCTGAAACTCACTCCGAGGAAGAGAGGGCCCGTTGTCGGGAAGAGGTGCGTCACACCGCGGGGACGGTCTTGACCACCAGCTGGGAGCCTGGAGCCGGAAGGTGCTAAGTGGTGGCCAGGGACTGGAGGAGAAAGGTGGAGGTCTCCTTCCAGGCTGGGGGACGGGAAGAGGCAGGGCTGGCTTCAGGGGTGGCCCTGTGGTTATTTTAGTTCCGTGTTCTCTTGCTGCCATCTTAACGTTCTTTGAAACTTCTGAGTAAGGGGACCTGCGTTTCATTTTGCCCCCGACCCGCACATAATGTAGCTGGTGCTGGGGAGAGGGAGCCGCCCCAGGCTGATGCTGCAGCCTCGGGGAGAGGCTTGAGGAGGTTTTCGAAACGGGAAAAGCGTCCCCTGCCCCTCTTGTAAAGTATCAGACCCGGCCAAGGCCCCAAGCACCGAGAAGGCGAGAGGCCGCTCTGCTCCCCGAGCCCCCTGCAGAGGTTGGGGGTGCGAGGGTCGCCGGCAGGCCAGCTGTAGAGGTGAAGTCGGGCCCAGCGCTGGCGGAGGGGCCTGAGAAGCAGCCGGGCTTCTCAAGGTTCTGCTTCTGTCCTTCCTGCTTCCCCAGTTCTACATGAAAACCAGCTGACCCACACAGACTTGAAGCCAGAGAACATCTTGTTTGTGAACTCGGAGTTTGAAACCCTCTACAATGAGCACAAGGTACGGGCCGGGAGAGGGCAGGGCCGCGCTCTGGGCTGGGTGCCCCGCCGGGCCAGACTCCTGACCTGGTCTCCTTGCCTGTCAGAGCTGTGAGGAGAAGTCGGTGAAGAACACCAGCATCCGGGTGGCTGACTTCGGCAGCGCTACCTTTGACCACGAGCATCACACGACCATCGTGGCCACCCGTCACTATCGCCCACCCGAGGTGATCCTTGGTGAGTGACTGGAGAGCCGCCACCCGATAAAGCGGACCGCTGTCGGGAGGGGAGGGCTAGAGGCAGGGATGCGCCCGCCCCCAGGGGCCAGGGTCACTGTGGCGGCTCACCTGGCCGTATGCAGAAAGGGTCTTCTGTTGGGGTTCGGGCAAGAACCCCGCCTCGCCAGAGCGGCAGCTGTCCTTTGACGTCTGGGCTGGGAGCCCGGGGCTGAGTCTCACGGTCTCCCCCCACGTTGGCTTTCAGAGCTGGGCTGGGCACAGCCGTGCGACGTCTGGAGCATTGGCTGCATTCTCTTCGAGTACTACCGGGGCTTCACGCTCTTCCAGGTAAGGCCGAGCCTCCCGCAGCACGCAGCTCGCCTGAGCGCCGCTCCTCGGGCGCGCTGCAGGGGCGGGCATGGGGAGCTCTGTGACCGCCCCCCCTCGGGCAGCATGCTGGGACACTCGGGCTCCTGAGGTTGGGGCAGTGGGGCGCTCAGGGCAGGAGGAGCGAGCATCTGAGGCAGGGGGCACGGCCCGAGGGAGGGCAGAGAGAGGGGCCGGGGCGGGGCACGTTCTGGGAAGAGTAAGGGAAGTCAGTGGAAAGAGAGGTGCGGTGATGGGCAAGTCCACCCTAGAGGTTAGGGAGCGTGCACTTGACCTTGAGCGAACAGGCTGGCAGGCTGCCACTAGGCCAGAGGCTAGGACTACTGTTCACTGGTGGGTTCACATCTCTCGGGGGTAAGGAGCGTCCCTTACTTTTTTGAGGGGGCAGAGGCTGGTACTGACGCCTGCTTGCCCTGCCCCTGCCATTCCAATAGACCCATGAAAACCGAGAACATTTGGTGATGATGGAGAAGATCCTAGGGCCCATCCCATCACACATGATCCACCGTACCAGGTAAGGAGCCCTGGTGGTGCCCTCGGGGCTCCTCTCGGCCTTCCCTCCTGTCCCCTACTCTGAGTGACCTGGCAGACCACTTGCCCAGACCTTTCCGCCCTGCTGCACCAGGCCAGCCGGGTTCCCCCACCTGGCTTCGCAGCCATTCCCCAGACTGCCGCTGTCTGCCCCCCAGCCCCCACCCAAGACGCGTCGCCCCCTGCCACCCCTACCGCTTGACCCCTTCCTTTCCTTTGCTTTCAGGAAACAGAAATATTTCTACAAAGGGGGCCTGGTTTGGGATGAGAACAGCTCTGATGGCCGGTATGTGAAGGAGAACTGCAAACCTCTGAAGGTCAGTTTCTGGCTTCCCCCAGCTCAACTCATGCCAAGGAGACCCCAGGCACTGGGCAGACACACAGCAGACACAGGCCAGGCAGCTAAAAGCTGCCTCCTCGCTCCGGCTCTGTGGGAGGCCGCACCCGAGGCTGCTGGGTGCCGGCCGTGGGGCTGCTTGCAGACCGCCCCCGAGGGGCCCTTAGCCCCGCCCCTTCCCCACAGGGTGGCTATGGATGTAATGGGGGAACACCAGAAGAGCCAGATGTCAGAGACCCTGCTGCTTCCTGTCCCCCTCTTCTCTCGGTTTTGGGAAGAACTAGGCAGGACTGAGGTGAGGGGGAGGGAAGACCTAGACATGGCCAGAGAGCCTCTGTCAACTGCATTTGGTGCCCGGACAAGTGAATTCTGCAGAGGTGATGCTACCCACCTGTCAGGACTTTGCATGCAGGGGCAGAGGCACCGAGCCAGCAAGACTACCCAGTAGCCTGACAAGTTCAGAGCCAAACGCTCTACGCAGGCATGAAAGGAAAGGAGCGGCTCACTGTCCAGGAGGGCGGAAGTAGTCCTCCAGGGAGGCAGCACTGCCTCCTCAACCCATTGCAGCAAGGCTTCCCAGAGGCACAGGGACCTGCTGTGGCTTCCCACGACCCTGCCATCACACTGAGGCACCTTGTGTCCCTGAGCAGAGTTACATGCTCCAGGACTCCTTGGAGCACGTGCAGCTGTTTGACCTGATGAGGAGGATGTTAGAATTTGACCCTGCCCAGCGCATCACACTGGCGGAGGCCCTGCTGCACCCCTTCTTTGCTGGCCTGACCCCTGAGGAGCGGTCCTTCCACACCAGCCGCAACCCAAGCAGATGACAGGCGTAGGCCACCCCACGAGCTGGAGCGCGGGACTGGGCTGCCCGGCCTTTTCTCCGACCTCCACCGCCAGGCCTCAGGGCCAGAGCCACCCAGCGAACAGTGCAATGTGAAGGAAGGCCGGAGCCTGCAGGGGACGAGACTTGATGCCCAGCTGCCAGAAAGCACAGATTTGACCCAAGCTATTTATATGTTGTAAAGTTATAATAAAGTGTTTCTTACTGTTTGTAACCCCTGGTACCGGTGTGTCCGTCTCCAGGCTCCTTGCCTTCCCCTCCCCCTACCTTATTAATAAAGTCTTTCTTAGCAGTTCAGCTTGTGGAGAGCTAAGTGTGAACAGTGACAAGACAGAAGCCAGGGATCCCTCTGGGCCCCAGACAAGAGCCCGGAGGTGGCGGGCCTGCTGGAAGGCACCGGTTCCCCTCGGCCCCACGGAATCGAAGGCAAAGGGTCGACCGAGCCCAGCCAGGCAGCAGCTAGTCTGACCTCTCCTGGCCCCATCACCAGCCGCCACTTCAGGCTGTACCTGCCCAACTGTGGCCGACTAAAGGCTGGCAACCGTGAGCCGACCAAGCTGGGCTCCTGGGGCTGGGAGGCAACCCCTCACTGCGGCCCACACGACAATTTACTAGAGCCCAGGACTCTTGTCATTCAGCTTTATTTTAAGTGCTGGTTTTTGGTTCCCCAAGAGCTGCATGGGTGATGGTCCTGACCACCTGAATGGGGCCCCCTGGGGACTGGGCGGGGGGTGGGGGCAGGATGCCTCTGAAAAGAGCTGAAGGTAGAGGAATCATGCTGATCTTTAATAGGACCGGGGAAGGCCGAGGCTAAGGGCAGGAAGAGGCTCCAGAGCCACCCGCAGAGAGAAGACAGGCTTGGGCACAACCTCCCAGTGGCCCCTCAACAAGGCCTTCACCCCCAGGGCCACTGCAACTTACCGGATCAATCAGAGTCTGCTGAGCCAGGGCTCCTCAAGCTCCTCTTCCACCGTACCCAAGCGGGGGGCCTTACTGCATGAACAGGCAGGCACCCAGAAACTGTTTAATGGTTGCTTACTAAAATGCCTATAACCCAGCACTGCTCCGCAGACTATGACCCTGCCTCTAAAGAGAGGGCTCCCTCTTGGGAGCTTCTTGGCCCTGAGAGTGAGGAGAGGCTCAGGGAGGATATACACAACAAGGCTCACAGTCTCTGGCCTCCTCCCACTGGTGGAGACGATTTAACATTTGAGGGAGAACAGGAGGAAAGGAGGGACCAGCCCTCTGCCCTGCCTCATCTGCTCCTGGCTATGTTCCTATAAGAAAAGCGTTAAGTAGCCTGAAGCCCATGGTAGCAGGGCCTACCCTGTGTCCATGATGCTTGGTGAGCCCTCCCACTCACCCCCTTAACCAGAGTGGGTGAGCAGAGAGCAGAAGGTAAGCCTGAAGGCCTGAAAAAGGCTTTAAAGCACGAACTTTTTGCAAGGGCCCCTGCCAGGGACTCCAGGGCATGGCTCCTGTTCTGACACCAGCCTCCAAGGCCTAAGCCTATGAGGTCCAAGGGCTTTCCTGCCTTAGGATCTGAGCAGCAGTATGTTCCTATGGCTGAGCCCCGCCAGCTGGCTCATCTAGAACTAGCCTCATTTTGGCATCTTTTGAGATAGGGTGCTGGCCCCAAGCGTACTCATCTAGAGTGGACAACCATAAAGGGTTCAAAGCCCAGACATTGTAAGAACTGGGGTGGGGCCCAGACAGGGGAGGGACATGCGCCCTGCTCTGGGACAACAGCTGCAAAAGACCGTTTCAGGGGAAAGAGACGGGGCAGAAGAAAGGGGGTATAGAGGCAGGCAAGGAGGTGGGAGCGGGGTAGTGGTGGCCTAAGACAGAAGCACCAGGGAGCCTCTTCTGGCTCAGCACCAGGCTCCCCCAGGGACCTCCCCAATACTGAACATTAAAGCTGCACCCTGAGCTCTGGCCCCAGACTAGGCAAAGGCTCTGCCCCCAGCCAGAGAGGGTATGGGGCTGGGGGCTCTGCTGGCAAGATGGGCACTGTGGTTCTATAGTAACATAGTCTCGTACTACCTATGCTGAAAACAGAAAAACAGTATAAAATCCCAATACAGTAAAACCATCCTGATGCCACCCCCTTCCCTGCCTCTCAGAGTGATGGAGTGGAAAGGAAGAAGGACCCTTGAAAAAACTCCCAGCATAAAACTTGCATCAGCTCAGGAGAAAGGGTCGAGAGTCCCCAAATCAACTTGTGGTGGGGCTCTAGGAAGGCCTCCTCAAAGCCCTCAAAATGAACGGAGTGCAAGTCTGCCCTCTGGCGGGCAGCTGCAGCACAGCCAGTTCGACATGATCGGGAGAAAGGCTGCGGGGGGGGGGGGGGTGCGGGGGGCAGAGGACACGGAGCCATAGCAAGAACAGGCCCCCAAACAGGACCCGCCCCACCCCGCAAGGCGCTTGCCCAGGCCCCAGTGACTGTAAACCTGAAAACTCGGTCCGTGAGCTGCCTAAGTCTGTAAACAAAGCCCCACCCAGCCACGCAGGGGGCCACGTGTAGAGATGCAGAGAGCCACTCAGCCTGCCGCCCACCCAGGACACCCAGTGGGAAAGCCTTCCTTGGCTACGGGCAGGTGACAGGTCATTTTTAAATATGATCTGTTCTCTCACAGAAGTAACAAATCCAAAAGCGAAAAAATTTAACAAGGTCCATGAAGCTTCACATCCTTAAGGCGTTCGTTGTCAAGTTCAGTGTGTCCGGAGCAGCAGGGGACTGCAGGGTCCAACTCGCCCAGAGCCCCTCTAGGCAGAGTGCAATGGAATGACAAACTTGCAGCCAAAGGGTGAGTGGTAGCTGATGCCCACCTCCCGGAACACCTGCTGGGGGAGGCCGATGTCACACAGGTAGATGCGGCCCGCGCGCTCCCCCAGCGGCAGAGGCAGGCCCAGAGCCAGCGACCACTTGGCGTCGATGCCCTGTTCGCCTTCGTGCACGGGTGGGTCGATGCTGAGCACCGGCGCCCGGTTCCGGTTGGCCCAGGCCACCGCTGCCTTGTACCAAGGCTGGTCCCGCAGGAAGGCATTCTCGGGGCAGTCCAGGCAGTTGATCACCAGGTCCACGGGGCTAGAGGGCAGATCTGCGGGTGGAAAGAGCACCACATGGGAATCGCTATAAGCAGAGAGCAGCCTGGGTCGGGACTAGAACCCAGATGGCCCCAAGGGGGTCTTGTTCTGACACCACTCCGAGGCCTCGCCACAGTCTGGCTTTCTCAAGGCTGGGCCAGGCCCCAGGCCTTCCAAGGTTGGGCTGGGTACCAGAGACTAAGGACGTGTCAGCCCGATGGACCACCATCCTCGTGGAGCCCCCAGGCCGAAGCGCCGTGCTGCTGGCCGTGCAGGTCGTCTCTGGGCGCAGCAGATGCACATCCGACTAACACCCTGGGTACATTATAAGCTCTGAGAAGGGGGAGCCGACTGCCGAGTCAGCGCTCCCAGGGAGCCCTTCCCAGAGCCCAGCAGAAATGGGCTGACGGCCATGTGCTGAGTGGCCCAAGAACTGCAAGCAGGCCAGAGCCTTGGGTTAGCCTCCTCACCCAACCGGAGCCAGCCTGGTCTTGCTGCATCCCGCCTCGTGCCCCCACCCCATGTCATCAAAATGGGCTCTCCTTACAGCCCAATCTTAGGGATAGGGAGGGAACCGATCACTTCTCCAGGCACTTAAAAAAGTTTCTCTGCTCAAACCAAGCCTCTGGGAGGGACAGCATAAGAAGAGATGTCTCAACAACTATGTAAGTCTTGACCAGCCTAAGAGGATAATTTGAGAATAGGAGAAATCAGACCAAATTCAAGGTCAGCATCCTCAGACTTGGCTCTTGGAGTTGAAATCAGAAAGCTTTTAGGTAGCCAGAGGAAGAATTGCCTAAAACAAGGCTTCATGTTACAGATCTCAAGCGGGGGAACCCAGAGCAGACCCACCTCCTGGCTACAGTAATGATATTTCTCAATTAGGGACTCAGGGCTTCCTTACTTGGAACAGACCACCAGGACAAGGGGGTGGGGGGATGTTGCCGGGGGCCAGTAGGCTTTCAAGAGTAAGAACAGGGTCTTACTTTCCACGTGCACACAGGAGCCTGGCCTGAGAGGAGACTGAGGTTCTGGCCCAGGGTCTGGCCCCAACTTGCCATCTGACCCCTGGCAAGGCCCTTTCTTCGTATTTCTTCTCTCTTCTCCTCCCCCACTCTCACTAAAACCCACTCCAATCACTTTGTCCCCTCCACCCTACCCCACTTGAAATTGCTCTGGTTGAAATCATCAGGGGCTTCCACACAGAAAGATCCAGTGGTCGATTCTCAGCCTTCATCTGAGCCTAACCTAGAGCGGCTTGCTGGCAGAGCTGACCGCACCACACCCCCGTCTTCACTTGCCTTCCAGGTGCCAGGCTCTCCTGCTTTTCCTTCTCCCTCCCTGTCTCCTGAGCTGCTCTCTCAACTCCCTGACTTCTAAACAAAGAACTCAGACTTAACTTCCCTACCTCTTCCTAGAAGATAGCTTATCCAGGCTCGTTAGGGCTCATTCCCACCTACACACTCGGCACTCCAGGCTTGACCCCTTCACCTACCTGCGGACTCATCTGTGTCAGTCAACATTTCCACCTGTATATCCAACAGGCACCTTCCTCCCCAAACCTCCTCCCACAAGTCTTCCCATCTCAGGATGGCACCTCCATCGTTCTGGTCACTCAGGCCAAACACCTTGCAGTCGTTCTTAACCCTTCCCCGTCACATCCCTTACATCCAATCTGCAGTCTCTAGCTCCAAAACTAACTTAGAAACTAACCCCCCTTCACCTCTTCTCCCACTACCACCAGCTGGTTGAGATCATCGGGGCTTACACACAGCCACCAGCATCTCCTTCTGGTTTCGCACGATAGCCTCTTAACACCTCTCTTTGTAGACCTCTAGTCTACTCCCAAAGAGCAGCTGGAGGATCATTTGGAATCTGAGCTGAATTCTACCTTCCTGCTACTTATTCCTCCAGTGGCTCTCCATCTCAGCTAGGGTAAAAGTGCAAACCCTTACAGTGATCCACAGGCCCCTCACCACCTGACCCTGAAATGTCTAAGTCTGCTACTTCTTACGCAACCCTCCAACCCTCCAACCGTCTCTAGTTCCCTTCCCTACTTTGTCTCTGTAATACCACCATCTGGCCTAATAGAAAGGTTACTTGTCTCTTTGTCCAATGTCCTAAGTAGAATGAAGCATGAATTAAAAAAAAAAAAGTCTACTGCCACATCCTGTGTCAGGAGTAGTGCCTGTTCCGTAAATGTTTGTAAAGTGAACAAGTGGGTCCCCAGCTCTCCATCTGAGTAGTGGGAGAGGGAGGACAGCGAAGGGATGGGAAGTAAGCAAGTCAACACCCAAAGTATTTCCTTTGTGTACAAAGACTCCTAACAGGCAGAGCATGCCTTACATCTGTGATGTTCCACCTGTCGCCACTGGGCAGCAGCATCAGACCATCAAACTACGTGAGGAGGGAGGAGGCCGAGGCCCTAGCCCAGCCCTACGCAAGCGCTCACCTTTGAGGTTAGATACTTGTTGGCCTTGGGTCTTGCTGAAGAGAGACAGCTCGTTGGTGATGGACTCCAGCATCTTGACAAAGTTGGGCAGGAAGAGGATGACCTGGACATCATGGTTGGCCAGGTGCCTTCCACAGCTGATCCCCTGAGCCCCTTTCACATGGGGGCCACACAGCAGGGCCACTGTGGGCCTCTGGTGAACATTTTTGGGATTCAACCTGGAACACAAGGTAAATTAGCATTATCAGCTGCAGACCTACCAATCCCTACACCCTAAACCAGACGAGTACCTCTCAGCACCTGTCGCTCTTCAAGTTCTTGGCAGCCCCAGGTCCCAGAGGGGGTGAAAAGCCACCAAACTCCAGGACTACAGGGTGGCATTCCCACGGTCCCACACCCCAGTGTCACTTCATCTGCTGGGTCCTCTCACTAGGCAGTTCACCCAGATCTCATTCCAGAGAACAATGTTGCCAGAACACTGCTCTCTGACCAGAAACACGTAACTGTTCTGTGGGACCTGTGAGGTCCAAACTCTGATTAGCAAAGAGGCTTCTCCACCTCGACAGCCCTCCTGGCTCTTCTTCCCTGGCCTCACTCTCTGCTATTCTTGTAAGGCTTTCTTGCTTCTCCTCAGAGGATGTCCCCTGCCCAGAAAGCCCTTCACTTGTCAAACTCTGACCCACCTTTTCTTTGAAATCCAGCTCAAGGCTCACCTCTTCCAGGATTACTCTGGCTCAACTCCTAAGAAACTCACAGCGAGGACCAAACGGGGCCGTTCTAAATCATCCTCCACCAGGTGCCAGGCCAAGTTCTCTTTACTGAGCTGCCAGTAAGCGAAATAAGGGCAACACTAGATACTAACGGGATCTTCCATGGGATGCTGTGTGGATCAACGCACATATAGTACTTAGAACAGGGCCTGACCCGTGACAGCCCAGGTCACAGAGGAGGCAGCAGGCTAGGGGCTTCCTGGTCTCCTACACTGGCAGCTCCCTTGGATATCCACTTCCTGATGAAGTCATTTCCAGATCCTGCCATCCAAAGCTGAGCCATAGGTAAGGAGGTTTGGAAGATTAACTCTGGAGCTGTTCCCAACTCACAGGCAGTGCGGTCTGCCTCCAGGGTGGAAGGCGGGGGAGATGGACAGCAAGAAACGGGCTTAGGTCCCTCCTTAGCAATGACAGTCACTTACTAGTCTCCCGAAGGGAGGCAGATGACAGATGCTGTTGCGGAGAGGAAGCCCCTGTGCTCCAAATACATTTGGGGGAATTTAGCAATATACTCTGCGTATATACCAAACCATTCATTTCCCGCCTGTGTCTGCATGTTAAGGAAATATGATGAGCACTTCTCCCCTCAGACAGACACCTGAGTTGTGGCATCTGACTCACCCATGTCTGTTCCTGAAGACTCTTCCTCTCGCAGAGGCATCCCCCATCGGAGGACTCAAAGCAGACCCTGGCATCACACAGCCGACAGCAGAGGGCAGGGTCCAGACCCTGGAAACAGACCTATCTGGATGGGAGACCTGGCTCCACTACGTACCAGCAGTGCCAACGTGGCCACGCCTTTCTGCTCTCTGAGCCTTAGCTTGCTCATCCTCAAACACCAGGCTACTATTTACCTTCAAGGTGAAGTCATGAGGACCAAATTAAACACAGCCGTGAAAGCACAGTGACAAACTGCATGGTACTGGACCCACATGAAGCAGATTACTAGCTGTGGCGATCCTTCTCAAAGGAGCTGCAGGAGGTGGCCCTTCTGAGAGGTCAGAGGCAGCGAGAAAAGCCAGGTCCAAGGACAGCTAGCCCCAAGAGGCTGGCTAGAGGGCAATGTGATGGGGTGAGGACATTCACACCCTGCCCCCACACTGCTGTTTCTGAAATCCCGTCGGCAGCTCAGCTCCCTACCGCAAAGCTGTTGCAAAGCCCTACTTCCCAGTCCCAGAGAATGACTTCACAGATCCCAGCCACAACCACGGGCTCTGTTCTGTCCGACCTCGGCACAGGCTACTCAGACCCAGACTCCTTGCCCTGCCTGCTGGCCTCTGTTAATCCCCCCTCCTCCGCAGGACTCCGCTTGGATGCTACTGCGGCTTCCGGGACGATCCTCTGTTTCCTCTACCACCACAATGTACTTTCTGGAGACCTCACTAGCCTTCCAGAGGGCAGGTGTAGTATTTTATTCTTCTTTGTGTCCCTCATCCTAGCACAAGGACTGGCACATGATATCAGTAAATGACCACAAATGAAATTAAGCACTGCTTTTGACATATGGGCCCAGAGGGCAGGTAGGAAGGCACCAAACTCCAGCTCTCCCACTGGGTGGTTCTAGAAGCTCTCAGGTATGGAACTCGGGTTGATCTCTGAGTGAAGGACAAGTGCCAAAGGCTGAGTCTCTGAAGGCTCTTAGAAGGCAGGCCTCTGGTAGCCAGCAGGAGTGTCAAAGCCAGCTGTTATCAGGAAAGAAAGGGTCAAAGGGCAGGCTGCTGAGAGAAGAATGAGGACTTCCGGGAGGTGGGTAAGAGGGGCAAACAAAACCCTCAGAGCACCCAGGAAAGGGACTTCACAGAGGGACGCACCCCGACAAACTCCTCCAGCAGAGCAGCACCTCCCCACGCATAGCCCCCGCCAGTCCGGAGTTTACCTGTTGGGTCCTCCGAGCAGCGTCAGGGCCATCTGGCTGGCACACACTCCTGTCATCTCCAGTCTCCGCTCCAGAGTCAACCCATGCTTCTCAGCCACAGACAACAGCTTTTTATGCAGTTCATAGGAAACACTTGGGACAACCAGGCCAGAGTCTGCAGTTCAAAAGGAGGTGAAGAGAGAAAGGGAAAGTGATTACAGGAAACCAGATCCACAAATGTTTGTACTTGAGCCAGAATTCTGTGAAAGCCAAGACTCTGAGACTGGCCCTCCCCTGGCCTGTCGGCCTAATGTGGGGCAGAGGTGCACCATGGAGCCCCCCAGAGTAGCGGGTGGGGAAGTAACAACTTGTGCCCGGTCCCAAAGAGCAGGGACAAGCTTAAGCTGTCTTAGCACTTGATTCTTTAAGATTTTGAGAGAGAGAGCACGTGCATGCAGGCACCCACGAGCAGGAGCAGGGGGAGGAGCAGAGGGAGAGGGATGAGCAGACTCCCCGTGGAGCAGGGAGCCCGACACGGGTCTCCATCCCAGGCCCCTGGGATCACGACCTGAGCCGATAACCGACTGAGCCACCCAGGCGCCCCCCTCTAACAGTTCAGCTTCAGACCACAGAAGCCAAAGCTACCCGGATCTCTCAGGTTATTACAGGGAAGGGCTGGCACAGCCTGCGAACAGCAGCCTGTGCGCCACGTCAGAAGAGAACAGTCTTTTCCCCGAGTGGGGGGAATGGCACCCCTGGCAGTGGGACTGTCCTCGCGAGCAGATTCCTCCTTCCCCACAAGTGGAACAGATGCCAAGCCTCTAGACCCTCTGCCCCCGCTGTGCTGTCCCAGGTCTCGGCTGGATGACTTGCTCATCCCATCTGCTCCCCACTTCCTCTTCCTCCTCCTTCTACTTAGTCCTTCCTCTTTGCTTAAGAAATTTAATGAGCAACTTGTTTTTTCAAATAATTTGTCATTTTCTCCCCACATTTGGGGCAAATGTAACCTAATACTCAAACCTCAGGGCAAGAGTACATGGAAAGCAACCTACTCAGAAGAATCTTGAACAGTTGCCATACAGAAAGGAACTCTATTAAGGTTAGGGAGAATCACTGAAAGTAGAGCATGGAAAATACTTGGTTTATAAGGCCAAAGTCTGCAGCAGCTGAGACACTTGAAAGAGTCTTACCTGCATTAGCACCAACAGGTGCCATTTCAGGGCCCAGAAAACCAGGACAGGAAAGAAACGCCAAAGTAAAAAACTGTGATCTGTAATGAGCAGCTCGTCTTGGCAACCAATGCCATCTTACAAATACTACAAGCCACTGGCCTGGCCCCAAGGGAGCAGACCTTTGCCAAAGATCCCCATTTGGCCTCACTGGCTGACAGACCAACACATACAGATTCCAATTAGCAAGTCATCGTGGGACTGCATGTAACTAGTTTTGTCTGGCTGGATCAGATGCCTTTTCAGATCCTGTGTCTTCATCTATACTGGACTGTAAACTCCTCCAAGCAGGGAAATAAACCCTTTACTTCTTTGGCCCCCATCTCTTCAACTTGCTTCAGCTACATTTATCAACAGAGGTGAGTTCTCATCAAGTACTCAAACATACAAATGATGCAAACCTAGTGCTATTTCTGGTCTGGCCTAACTCTATGGTAGAAGTTTTCAGGAAGTTCATCATCTATCCTATTGGTTGCAAAGCCCTGTCTAGAAAAACTTGTCTTCCTCCCTGATCATTTCAGAAATAATTTCTTGAAGTTCTATCAGATATCCAGCCCTGCCTCCACAGACTCTTAAAATCACACAGAACGAGGCTATGGCGGTACATTTGAACAACAGGAATCCAAGCACGAAGACTGAACCCAAAGCACTAAGGTATATATATATCCTCTCAAAGGAAGGCGAAATAATAACTTAATGTAGTAATGACAATAAGAAAGATGTCTACACATCAAAATTAACACTATCCTGTTGGTTAACTGAAGCCTTCTACCTGCCTGAGTCCTATCCCGGCCTTGGCACAAACACTGCCATTAGGAACATGGATGGTCTCTTCTCTCTTTCTGAAATGTCAGTCCTCTTCTCTCTTTCTGAAATGTCAGTCCTAAGTGCCAGTGCTGGAGGCTGCAGCCTGACCTTGCATGTCAACAGCTGATTAAAACAGCCATTTTTATGGCCTGCTCCAGGCACGCACATATTATCGGAACTAATTAGGAATCATTGATAGCAGTGTGAAAAGCCAAAGGAATTCTCAGGAGTCCTAAGCCACTAACAACCTTAAACCTGTCAGACAAGTCATGTCTACCTCAAACACCCTCTTTACCTGCAAAGTCACGCAAGAGAGCTTCCCCTTGACCCTGTGCATTTCTTCACCCATTTATTTGCTTTCTGTTGACTCTGAAACGGACCAAGGTAGGGAGTCCTGAGCATGTCACCCTACAAATCAAGCATTCTTTGTGGGTCTACGTCTTGTGGTGTAGGTACAGGGCACCTCCCTCTCCCATTCCGAGGGCTCTCTGGAGGCAGGCTGAGCATTTTCTCCTCACAGTCCTGAAAGGTACAAAACTCACAGTACAGGGAGAGGAGAGCAGAGCCCACACCCCGGCTGGCTGGCTGCTCCAGCGGGGAGCTCACTGATGGTGGGGAGCACTGCTGATGAACTGGCACACTTTGTAGCCTAGGGCAAGACAAGGCCGGGATCCCTTCTCCTCAGTCTGCCAGTTACAGGGCCTAGGACTCCGCAGTACCCTACTCAGTTTCTCTGAGAGGAATGTGCAAGCACCACAAAATGTTCCTTTTCAACATTTACACATCAAAAGTCCCACCACCAGTCAGACTGGCTTATCAGAAACAGGCAGAGGGAATAAAATAAACTCCAAAGGAAGGGAACCAAGAACATAGCGTGTAAATGGCAAACAATAACATTGCCAAAGCCTGAACATGAGCCAAGCCTAATTATGTTTGGGCTGGCAGGTGGATCTTTATTGTTCTGGAACCAAGGCAGTAAAATCAGTTGGTAGGGTTTCTCTCACTATGTATTTTACAGCTGTCGGTGAAACAAGAAAGGGAGATATAATTACAGCCAGTTCGTGACAAGTAGAGCACATCTTAGGATCTGATTAACCTTAGGGTATCCAGGAAAACAGCTTAAGCACACTCTGTACAGGCTGGGAGACAAGACTCCTCCCCAGACAGCTCACTCCACAGCATGAGGCCAGGGCCCTGCAACCTCACAGGCCAGCCACCACAGTGCCTGCTGCGGCCTCCCCTTCGTCAGGTCTTTCTCACTTCCACAGGCTCCTTCCAGTACATACGACTTAAGGTCTCAGCCTCGTTCTCACACCCTCAAGCACCATGTCCAAACCTTCTCCAGCAGCTTCTGCATGTACATCCCTTCCTGTCCTTCAAACCCCCCAGCCTTCTGGTTGTGTGACAAAACTCCCACAACAAAACGTCAGCTCAGATCTAAACTCAGTCCTCACACTGACACGGCCCTTTAGTGAGAAAGGCTGTGTGCGCCCCATGTGTTACCAATGAGGAGCACAGCTCACTGAAGGCTCAATGCCTCAATGAGGGCAGGTGATTTCCCCAGGGCTATGAATTCTGATTCCATTCTGTGGGGATCACACAACTGTGGGGGGATATCACACTGGTTTGGTTTGGTTTTTTAAGTTCTTACTTTAATCACCCAGTGCTCATCACAGCAAGTGTACTCCTTAATCCCCATCACCTATTTCACCCATATCCCCACCCCACCCCCGGCCCACCTCCCCTCTGGTAGCCATCAGTGTGTTCTCTATAGTTAAACACACAGGTTCTTTTCAGGAGTATAAACCAGTAAATTCATACCCTCAGACCCACACTGTACAAGAGAGCCCCTGTAGATTTACATGAAAGCTACACAAAATGAAATTTGGTGTCAACTGTATCTCTGAAAGAAGGATTTATTACAAGAGGCCTAAATACTCAATACTCTTTATTAGGGCCCACAAGGCCTCCATGATCTGGCCCCTGTTTATTTCACCCCCTTTACCTTGGACCCCAACTCCCACCATGCTCCAAGGCACCTTGGCTGCCTTCTGGTTCCTAAACATATTCCAAGTCCCTTCTGGCCTCAGGAAGCATGTCCCCTCTCCTGGGACTCTTTTCTCTCTTCCAATATTCTACCCACACTCATAGCTGGTCCCTCATTTTTCTTAAAGAAGTCCCTCATTCGGGGCGCCTGGGTGGCTCAGATGGTTAAGCGTCTGCCTTCAGCTCAGGTCATGATCCCAGGGTCCTGGGATCGAGCCCCACATCGGGCTTCTGGCTCAGCGAGGAGCCTGCTTCTCCCTCTGCCTCTGCCTCTCTCCCTGCTCATGCTTTCTCTCTCTATCTCTGTGTCTCAAATGAATAAATAAAATCTTAAAAAAAAAAAAAAGAAGTCCCTCATTCTTCTTCTCCCCCTCTTCTTAAATATCCCTCAGTCTCAGCAGGCTGCTTATTTTCTTCACTGTACTGAACACAACTTGTAAATAACTGTTTTTTCGTTTTGGACCAGACTGCAAGCTCCATGAAGGCAGTGACCGAGTCTGTCTTGCTCACTGCGCTAGCCTGTTCTTCACGGTGCCCTCACTGTCAGCACAGGGCCTGGTCGGGTCTACATAAATGTGTGTGGAATTAATGAAAAGAATGGGAAGGAAACCTGTACAACTGCCTCAGCGAGTTCCATTCTGCAGCTGGGTAAGAGCCCCGCTGTAACCAAAGGTAAGTGTGGGTGAGATGTTTCAGATTCTTTCCCCTCCCCCATTTACAACTAGACAAACCCTCTGTCCACCCTGGACCTCATTCCTTCAGGTTAAAGCTCCACTGAAACAAGCTTTGGACTCAAGAGGTAAAGGACCTCCTGACAAGATGGCTTATTAATTATGAAGAGGAGAAGTATCCTTACAAAGAAGAAACCCAGTGGACGATACCTCACCCAAGTGATTAACTCAGCCCCAATGGTAAGACAAACTGACACTGTATATTCTTACGATGTGATACCCTGCAAAGGACAGAGCCCCACCAAAATCGTGGGGAAAATGTTTAACATGAATCACATGGAACATAAATCACATGAATCAAAAGGAACAATCACTGGGTGGCTCAGCTGGTTAAGTGTCTGCCTTTGGCTAGGGCCATGATCCCAGAGTCCTGGGATCAAGTCCCGCATCGGGTTCCCTGCTCAGCAGGGAGTCTGCTTCTTCCTCTCCCTCTCCATCTGTGTGCTCTCTCTCTCTCAAATAAATAAATAAATCTTAAAAAAAAAAAAAAAAGAACAATCAGTAAATAAAACTAAGGGATATTCTGCAAATCAACTGGCCTAGACTCTTCATAAATGTCAATATCACAAGAGATGACAAAAGTTGTGGGAACTCTCCTGGTTAAAGGAAACAAAAGAGATACAACTGTATCTCGACTACATCTCATATGATGTAATGCACAACTGTTGACTAAAAATACAGCTATAAAGGACACGATTGGGACAACTGGAGAGCTGTGGATAAGGAATGTATATTAGATAATATTTTGTGTTAACTCTGTTTCCTGAGAGCAATCTTACAGTGTGGTTGTAAGAGCAACATCCTACTGAATGTACAGGGAGGTATGTAGGGGTAATGTAACGAAATGTAATGAGAGCAACTAAATCTCAAGTGGTTCAGGTATGCGCTTGTGTTAATATAAAGTAAATGTGGCAAATATTTTTTTTTTTAAGATTTTATTTATTTATATGACAGAGAGAGACAGCGAGAACAGGAACATAAGCAGGGGGAGTGGGAGAGGGAGAAGCAGGCCTCCCACTGAGCAGGGAGCCCGATGTGGGACTCGATCCCAGGACCCCAGGATCATGACCTGAGCCGAAGGCAGACGCTTAACGACTGAGCCACCCAGGTGCCCAAATTTGGCAAATATTAATAGGTGAATCTAAATGAAGAATGCATGATGTTCATTATACTATTCTAGCAACTTAAAGTGTAAAATTGTTCAACATAAAAAAGTTTTTTGGCGGGGGGAACCTGGGTGGCTCAGTCGGTTAAGCTTCTGCCTTTGGCTCAAGTCATGATTTAGGTCTTGATCTCAGGGTCCTGGGATAGAGCCCAGTGTTGGGCTCCCGGCTCAGCAAGGAGTCTGCTTCTCTCTCTCCTTCTGCCCCTCCCCACCGCTTGTACTCTCTCCCTCTCTCTCTCAAATAAATAAATAAAAATTTTAAGGGAAAAAAAGAAGGCTAAAGTATTTTAAAATAAGTAAGTAAATAAGTTGTGGGGAGAAAAGAGAGAGTTAAGTGCCTTCAAAGATGACCAGCTAACACATCAAGCCAGTGGTAGGGTGGGGAGTGGCAGGAGACAAGAGAGTAAAGTAAAAAAAAATACAAAAACAACCCTGTTTCCCACAGTCTTACAACCTAGCTGAAAACAAAAAATATATATGTGCAAATACCAGAAAATACACTAAACTGTTATCCTGAGCACACGTGTAAAGTATAGATTTCAAACCAGGAGCTTCAGGACACCTGGGTGGCTCAGTCGGTGAAGTGTCTGCCTTCGGCTCAGGTCATGATCCCAGGTCCTGGGATGGAGTCCCCCATCGGGCTCCTTGCTTGGCGGGGAGCCTGCTTCTCCCTCTCCCTCTGCTTCTGCCACTGCCCCTGCTTGTGCTCGCTGACAAATAAATAAAAATTAAAAAATCTCAACCAGGAGCTGCAGGCGATAGGTTCAAATTCTCAACCATGCCTGGAAAGGCAGGCAGGACTGTAGTCAGGACAGGAGGGAGAGAGAGCACTCCAGGTGGAGTGGGGAGGAACCATGAACAAAGTTCCCCAAGCTGGAATCTGGATGACCTGTGCAGATGCAAATTCCCTGCCGGAGCCCCAAGGCTGATGTGAAGTCTGGCTTAGAGTAGTAGGCAGGCCCAGACTTCAGAAGGCTCTAAGGCCAAGGCCTATGACAAGTATCCACCTGATTCTCCAGGCCCAGAAACTCTGAAGGACACCACATTAAAGGGCTGACTACTCCTTCAACTCCTGGCACCAGGCGATCTGATTAGAACCTGAGGTTCCTAAAATCAACCAAGTCACTGTCAAGAAAGTCTGCCTGCAGAGACACTATGTTCATTTCAGAAACTAGGTCCCTTAACTCTGTTCCATGAAAAGTTATGGTGGCACCTGCTGCAGCACAGATGTGTCAGTGCAGGCGTTCTGATCCAGAACATCTCCTAGAATTTACCTCCTGATGTGTCCCTGGGGCTCTGAGGAGCACATTTGCTGAAGGAGGTCTCACTACCTTTAGATTAAAATTCTTCAATGGCCACTTCTAAACTCAAAGATTTATTTCTTCCTGAATTCCTGCTGAACACACATACAAACCCAAAGCAGATTTCCTGATTATCTGTTCTTCAAGAGATAAGCAAACTGCTGGTCTTAAAAGCATCAGAGTATTTCTTAAGGGACTCTTGGTGACAAGAAGCAAAAGAAGGCAGCCAGAGCTCAGAGGCAGAAATGGAACACTAGGTGTGGAAGACATTGCCAGCCTCAAACGTGAATGTCAAGCTTGTCCTGAGAGCAAGACACATCCTCACTTAAGTTCAAAGATTTAGGGGCGCCTGGGTGGCTCAGCCGTTAAGCGTCTGCCTTCGGCTCAGGTCGTGATCCCAGGGTCCTGGGATCGAGCCCCGCATCGGGCTCCCTGCTCCGCGGGAAGCCTGCTTCTCCCTCTCCCACTCCCCCTGCTTGTGTTCCCTCTCTCACTGTGTCTCTCTCTGTCAAATAAATTAAAAAAAAAAAAAAAAGTTCAAAGATTTAGCTAGCCAAGGTGGGAAGAGTAAAGAGATAAGCCATAAAGCAGCAGGAACAAACCGACTGTGGCTTCACCAGCAGCTCCCCTTCAGAGCAGGAACCAGAACTGCTTTTACCAAAAGAAATGGGCATGTTTAAGAGAGTGCCTCACTCAAACTTGGACTTGATCCTTTTTCAAGACAGTAAACAGTAACTCTACTTCAGGGGTGCCTGGGTGGCTCAGTCATTAAGCGTCTGCCTTCGGCTCAGGTCATGGTCCCAGGGTCCTAGGATCAAGCCCCGCATCGGGCTCCCTGCTCCATGGGAAGCCTGCTTCTCCCTCTCCCACCCGCCCTGCTTATGTTCACTCTCTCGCTGTGTCTCTCTCTGTCAAATAAATTTTAAAAAACTTCAAAACAAAACAAAAACTTCTATTTCATGTCATCCTCCTCATATACTTGCTGCTCCCCAAATCTCAGCAGACAGATAGTATGGAGGCAAAGGAACACCCTTCAAGCAAAGCAATGGGACAACCACAGAGATTCACTGTCGGCACCAACAGCACCCCACTGCCTCCCATCTGGGCTTCTAAACACTTGAGGACAGAAGGAGGCTACAGAGTGGAAAACAAATGGTGGAAGTTAAATAGGAATTCTACCCAATAGGAAGGGTTCTTGAATTAATATACCCAAGAAAAATTTATTAGCACTCAGAAAATGAAGAATTCGAGACACTTTAAAGTCATTCCTGATTTCAAAGTCTTACTGGATCACTTAATGCCAACAAAACGGGGATAATAACAAAATGGGGAGAACACTGAAATCTCACAGATGCACCATGAAAATTGTGACCTACGTGAAGTGCTTAGAATGGTTCCCCGTGACACTGTAAATATCCAATGAACTTTCAATACTATGACACTGATCATAATTATGTTGCTTCTCCTCAACCAGACTCCCACCATCCCCTTGCTGCCACCTCCAAACCTTGTATACACATCTATAATTTAATTACAGAGTAATACAAATTACTCTTTAACATTTGGTTACTCTGTAAGGCCCCTGGGGTGACAATCACTTACCCAGAGGATCTAGAATGGTGCCTCACACACAGTATAAATTTTATAAATGTAGATGCTTTGAAATAACCTTACTGAGGCAGCCTCTGCAATTCATATTTGAAGTCAAAAACTGACTAACAATCATAAACTGGGCATTGTACTAGCTGCTATTCCACATGATCTCATTTAATTGACAATTTTATTCCACTTTACAGATAAGGAAACAGGCTCAGTAGCCCCCATTTGGCTACATAACTCCATTCTCTGACTCTACAGAAGCCTCCTCATTGAAGCTTTTAATAACTCCCTGACCTCTCTCTCAGTGTGGTAACTCTACTATTTGCTTTCTCCGAGCTCAGCCACAAAGCACCGCAGGAGGGAAATCACAAAACCATGCAGACTTGGCCCGCTACAGACAGGCAATCTAACGACAACTAGACTCTCAGTGCCATTCTTCCTGCCCCACAGGTTCAATGCCTTTGAATCCTCCACTCCCTTTTCCACCTGCTTTCAACCATCAAATTTCCCTTCATCACTTCTCTCACACCTTTGTTTTCCTTTCCTTTCCTTTAAGGAGTCCAAACCTCTGATACATTAGTTATGTATGAACCTAGTCTTCCTACTCTGGTCTCTCTCCTCTCATTCCACCCTGAAATCTATCATGAGACCAGTCTTCCTGAAGATTCTGAATCTTCCTGGGGCACCTGGGTGGCTTAGTCGGTTAAGCATCTGCCTTCGGCTCAGGTCATGGTCCCAGGGTCTTGGGATCGAGCCCCACATTGGGCTCCCTGCTCTGCAAGGAGCCTGCTTCTCCCTCTCCCTCAGCCTGCCACTCCCCGTTTGTTTTTTCTCTGTCAAATGGATAGATAGAATTAAAAAAAAAAAAAAAAAAAAAAGACTCTGTGTCTTCTTAAAAGAGATTGGGATCATGTCATTTTCAGAATCCTTCAGCTGTTCCCTATGGCATAGGACAAGGATAGCATACGCACACAAGGCTCTGTGCTCTTGTGGTCCAAAGCTTATTTAATTCCTGCTACTCCCCCACACAAACACTCTCTCTCCTGGCCAAACCTGCTGATGGCCTATCTCCCACACGGCCCTTTACTCACACTATTCACCAGCACCTACCAGCCTACCCACACATCTCTTTCTCTCTGCCTGGTGAAATTCTGCCCATGCTTCAAGGCTTCCTCCCTTTGTGAAGCTGTTCCTGATCAGCCCAGCCTTCAGGACCTCTCCTGCCTCTCAACATCCAGTGTAATTAACATCCACACCACTGGACTCCAGGCATATATGGTATCCTTCCATTCCTAATACCTTTCTTTTTAGGTTTATTAAAAAACAAAAAGATTTATTTGAGAGAGAGCACATGTGTGCACATGTGCATATGGGGGGGGGAGTCTCAAGCAGACTCCCCTCTGAGCACAGAGCCCCATGAAGGGCTCAATCCCAGGACTCTGAGATCAGAGCCGAAATCAAGAGTCGGACACTTAACCGAATGAGCCACCCAGGCGCCCCTTCCTAATACAGCTTAATAAGGAATACAAGATCTTAGAGTGACTTACACAAAATAAGCAACAGTATTTGGACTAACCTATTTCTTTTAAAATAATATGAATGTTGAGCAAAGATTCTTCTTTGAAGCCTTACCTCTCTCCTAACCAGTGTTCTTTGAGAACCTCTTACCACTGAACAGAGTGCTCACACGCATCTCACATTTTACAGCCAAACTTAATAAACAAGTATGTGACCACTGGATAGCATTATTTAGCAGGCTAAGTCCAAGCTGGAGGAATGTCTGATAATCTCTGATTGTTGGAGACAGCAGCACTGTCAAAGGACTCAAAAAGGCTTTCCAGAGAGAAAAGATGTGGGTTAAACAAAGAGCTAAATTTAGTTGCTTCCTGAATGTGTTTTCCCAATCAACAGACCTTTTATAACACTGCCCCCATAACACACACACACACACACACACACACTCTCCCCTGTTGCCAAGAGGAGTGTGAGCAATTATAGCATAATGGCTTGGAAACTGTTAACACCACTCAGCACGCAGTCAATGTGCTGGATACCAGCAGCAAGCTGTCAAAATGCTCAGATCCAAGCCATCACACCACATGGGTAGGAAACATGTTGTTCTTTTGCTACCCTGGAGATTAGCAGAAAATAAAGTATTGGGGGTTCTAGGACATGAATGCCAAAAGTTGGGGAGCTATCCAAGCCACCCTCCACAACCGCTGATTTAAGCCAGCCCGTTTCTGAGGACACTGAAAGACAAATGACTGTAGTCTGTTGTGCCGTTACACTGCCCTTCTCCTCTGAAACGATGTCCTTCCTCCCCTTTAACTTAGCCACCTTCCGAAGATGAAAGGAAATGTGACAGATAAGGTTTGTGAGAGTCTTTATCTCTCTGGGCCTCAATGTCCTCATCTGTAAAACGAGAAAATCATACTAAGCGATCAAGTAACCTAACACTAACATTTGATGGTCTTAGGTTGTTTCCCCACATATTCGAGATAGTTTGCCTTACTCTGACTGTAACATCTGCATAGAAGATCCAAGTGGAAAAGTGTCCCCAGCCAGGCACAATCTGAGTAAGAGTAGAAACCGACTTTGAGGCTTGGGTCTTGTTGCTGGAGCAGAGATAAAAACCACCTGTAGGAGAAGCTGCTCAGCAAGGCAATGGCTTGCTTGCTCTATTTCCAACATAGACCCTGCTTGGCAAAAGGGCTTCATTTGCACTGCTATCTCTACTGAGGACAAAGAGGAAAACCAGACGGCATGAAACTGCAGGGCCTCTCGCCTCTCGCTGTCATGACTCAATGAAGTGCAAATGGTCACCAGCACACCACATGCCGCCATACCTGAGCGCTTGGCTGATGACCAGCTCATGTGGTTTGTTGTTCACTTGTTAATGGCAATTCTGGAAAAATAGTTTCATGCAAGAGAAGGAAACTTTTTACTTCTGTCATTAAATTAAATAAGGTGTGAAAATCAAATTGGGGAGGTGGAACGTGTAATAGGAAAAAATTCCCACCCTCCCCTTTGTCTACTTTAGCAATGTTTTCTCAGGTTCTTTTAGATCTGAGAATCTTTCCTGAGGCTACTATTCTCTCCCTTTTAGCCACTTCACTCCAAGGCAGGCTCTATCTCCCCAAGCTCAGGAAATTCAGGGAAACAACCTGCTGCATGACCGACCACTGGACCACCTCAGCTCAGAGAGCTACCAGCAGAGGCGGCTTATTTTGCAAATGAGGGCAATAAAAGAGGGGAGCAGTAGGGGCAGATGAATAACAGGAACTGAGTATGCTACCAGACCAGCTGGATGATGGCTGCCTCTGAAAAGCTTAACACCTGGCAACTGAATCAGAAGCCTGATTCTGAGCTGGGCTGTTTGCCTACACACAAGTGGTAAAAATCAAAGGAGTTCAGGAAGTCACATGTCAGTGCCACTTAGGGAAACTACCTTAGTAAAGAGGTATGCCCACCAGAGTCCACCTGCAAACAATGGAAAAATAATTTGGTACTCTCTTAGCCTGACAACCTTTTTTTCCACATGAAAAGCACGTGCAAACTTCTATACTCAGCAAACCAAATACAATACAGCTTTACTGCTGTCTACAAAAAAACCACGCCATATCTGACTTTCCTCCAAATATAATTAAGCCATCTCCATAATATGTCCTATAACCGCTACTACTGTTCTAAATTTATATTCCCTATATTCAAACCCTCAAACCAAAATGAATATTGTACTTAGTTCCTTCTCTACTTAATTAAAATGATTAGGATTCCTCCTTCAGCTCTTCAAGATCATTCAATAAGAATGGTTTTCCAACTGTATTTGAAGAAGCCCAGATAATAATGTGGTTTAGTGGGAAGCGACAGGGATAGGGGTGAGGTAGATCACCTCTCCTATAGCTGGTTTTATCTGCCTCTAATGGGGGGGGGTGTGTTTTAAGATTTTATTTATTTGAGAGAGAACAGAGTGAGAGAGCACGAGACAGGGGAGGGTCAGAGGGAGAAGCAGACTCCCCAATGAGCGGGGAGCCTGAGGCGGGGCTCAATCCCATTTGAGAGAGAACAGAGTGAGAGAGAGCGAGCACGAGACAGGGGAGGGTCAGAGGGAGAAGCAGACTCCCCAGTGAGCGGGGAGCCTGAGGCGGGGCTCAATCCCAGGACCCTGGGATCCTGATCTGAGCCGAAGGCAGATGCTTAGCCGACTGAGCTACCCAGATGCCCCTCTAATGCCACGTTTGAAGAAAAGTTCCTAATGTTAAAACCACTGAGGCAATAGACTAAACTATCCTATACAATGACCGACCTAACTGCCAAGGCACTACTCTGTTACGTGAGAAATAGGACTAGCCAAACCCTCCCTGACCAGGGAGAGTAGGAGATGAGGATAGTATAGTAAACAAATGTAATTTATTGAAACCCCAATTTTAGCCAGTGGTTTCAACCGTCCATCTCTGTTTTTTACCCCAACAACTAGTAAAACAGAATTGAACTTCTGGTGAGATGTACAGGTAGTAACAGGCAAGCCAAAGTGAAAAGCCAAAGATCTGATTATGTGAATCTAGACAGCTGGCTCCTATGCCTTTAGTTGTTAATCATGACACACTAAACAAAGAGCAGACCAGAACCTGTCAGATGTGGATATAAATGGACATGAAATCAGCCCCCTAACCCACACTGTCACATCCCCCATGGTAGGTAGGATGCCATATTAACCACGATTCCCAAGAGACAATAATAATAGCTAACCACAAAGCCACTTTAGTTAATTCCTACTACAAGACTCTGATTCAGAATTTAGGTCATTCTCTTTTAAACGTAACAGAAAGGGGAGAGCAGCCAATGGTATGTAGGCCTGTGCAACTCACCCGTGCAGAACTCCTTGCTCACATTGTGGGGCACTGTGATCCGCCGATAGACAATGGGCTCTGACTCCAGGATGTTCTCATCGTGGCGGTACCGAGTTGGCCTTTCATTTGGGATGCCCCGGGAACGGGTACCGCTTCTCCTCTCATAGGTATCAATCTCCTCAAACACAGCTGCCTTGTCAAAAAGGGCCAGGTTCCCTTCAAAATCAAAATCTGTGTCTGGGATCTCTTCGATATCATCCCCGAAGCACTCGTCATCTTTGTTCTTCATCTGGCCATTCTTTAAGCCACTTTTCTTTGGAGTTGCCTGATTTGGGTGTCTGCTACTAGATGACCCTAGAGAAAAAACAGGGACTAAGGTCAGTGTGCCCACAGAAAGCACTCAGTGGAAATGGAAAATACATCAGTCTTTTATGGAGAGTGTTACAGGAATCAAAGTGAAGATAGTAAAGGTAAGCTATTTCTAGATCATATTAAGTAGCAAAAACTACCACAAATCTCACAGAATAATAGATTTCATATATTACCCAAGTAACAGTGAATATAAAATAAGTACAACTCCTGGAAATCTAAACCAGTTCTATCCTTCATAAGGAAATTAGTTGGGGCGCCTGGGTGGCTCAGTCATTAAGCGTCTGCCTTCGGCTCAGGTCATGATCCCAGGGTCCTGGGATGGAGCCCCGCATCGGGCTCCCTGCTCCGCGGGAAGCCTGCTTCTCCCTCTCCCACTCCCCCCAGCTTGTGTTCCCTCTCTCACTGTCTCTCTCTGTCAAATAAATAAATAAGGGCGCCTGGGTGGCTCAGTTGGTTAAGCGACTGCCTTCAGCTCAGGTCATGATCCCAGGGTCCTGGGATCGAGTCCCACATCGGGCTCCCTGCTCAGCGGGAAGCCTGCTTCTCCCTCTCCCACTCCCCCTGCTTGTGTTCCCTCTCTCGCTGTGTCTCTCTCTGTCAAATAAATAAATAAAATCTTTTTTAAAAAATAAATAAATAAATAAATCTTAAAAAAAATAAAATAAAAATAACTTCACAGTAATGCATAAAACATATAGAAAACTGCAGATATTCACTTAACATTTTGACATGTTTCCTTTTAGTCAAAAATATGCATCCATCTTACAAAATTTTATACCTTGCTTTCTTGCTTAGGAGCTTTTCTTGCTTTCTTTTTTTTTTTAAGATTTTATTTATTTATTTGACAGAGACACAGCGAGAAAGGGAACACAAGCAGGGGGAGTGGGAGAGGGAGAAGCCGGCTTCCCGCCGAGCAGGGAGCCGGATGCAGGGCTCGATCCCAGAACCCTGGGATCATGACCTGAGCTGAAGGCAGACGCTTAATGACTGAGCCACCCAGGTGCCCCTAGGAGCTTATTTCTGTTTCATGAAAGATTTCTCCAAATATCTTTCTATATGATTTTTTATAGAGTACACCCTACTGATCTGTATCATACCTACAGATGAGCTTTTAAGCTATTTCTCATTTTTATTGTTATAAACTCAGCCCAAACACACCACCTCGATAACTGCAGCTGAAAGATCGCCCCCATCTGACCACCTGCAGCAGTGTGGGTACCATTCAGCTAGCACTTGCCCTATGCTACCTACTTTGTTCTGCAGTTATCTGTATTCTTACTCTAACTCCCCAAGGATGCTGTAATCCAACAAAGGGCAGAACCATGTCATTCAGACCTGTCACCCAATTCTACAGCTCCCTCACCATAAATACACAAATCTCTGAATAAAAACAGCTATATCAAAAAAAAAAAAAGGACACACACACACACACACACAAACTAAAAACACCCCAAGCAAACAACAAAAGTTAAGAGTCTAAAGAGGTCACAAAAGAAAAGGCAACTTGAGATTAACTATGGGAAAGAAAAGCAGCTATCAAAACTGTGCGTGGGGTGCCTGGGTGGCTCAGTTGGTTGGGCGACTGCCTTCAGCTCAGGTCATGGTCCTGGAGTCCTGGGATCGAGTCCCGCATAGGGCTCCCTGCTCGGCAGGGGGTCTGCTTCTCCCTCTGACCTTCTTCCCTCTCATGCTCTCTGTCTCTCATTCTCTCTCTCTCAAATAAATAAATAAAATCTTAAAAAAAAAAAAAAAAAAAACCTGTGCGTGACTGGGGCGCCTGGGTGGCTCAGTTGTTAAGCGTCTGCCTTCAGCTCAGGTCATGATCCAGGGTCCTGGGATCGAGCCCCCCATTAGGCTCCCTGCTCCACAGGAGGCCTGCTTCTCCCTCTCCCACTCCCCCTGCTTGTGTTCTCTCTCTCGCTGTGTCTCTCTCTGTCAAATAAATAAATAAAATCTTTAAAAAAAAAACTGTGTGACTGAAAAGGACAGGAACATGAAGTTGTCAACAATAATACAAGAGGGAACATAAGGCCCGGGTTTCAGAGGAAAGGAGTTCAGCTGTGCCCAGTAGGAACTGACAATGAACTATCCCAGATCTATCACAATGACAGATGAAGATAAACAATTAATCAATGTAAGAGAAGATAGGGTAAAAGCAGCAAAATGGGAAGCCATTTTTGGCTCAGCCTGAAGACTCTACAAACACCACTTGCAACCAAACCAGAGTTGTGGCTTTAGAAGGTATCGGGTATTTCTCCTCATGCTCTCTCTGAAGACAGACCTTACATTCACTCTTTTGACAAATATACACTAAGGACCAGCTATGTTCCAAATACTGTCAGGAAAGTAGACAGTGAAAAAATACCCAAGAGGAAATACTGACATCATAGGTCAGCAAGAAAAAGATAAGACAATATAAAGTAAATGAAAGGCAGGCCAATATGCTCAGTTGTCTTTCTTCCTTTTGCTCATACTTTAATAAAAATATTAGAAAGTCCTGGGTGAATAAGTGGTCTCAATACTCGGCTTACTCAGCCCAAAGGGCCTGGCTCTGTATTTAAAATGGCCTCAGGCCACTAAGAGAGAAAAACACTTCCCTTGGAAAAGATAAAGAGTGCTTCATAGATTTCTTTACCTTTCAATTACAAGGGCCAAGTATGTGTTAAGACTAGAGGCTGGCCGCCTTCCTGTGCCATTTTGCTGCCAGCCTTTGGCACAAAAGCCCTTTGGCCAGGACAACAAACTCATTGTTGTGTAACCCTCACTGCCACTTATTTATTGGTTTTTGTCACACACATATTGTAAAGGGGAACTTTGTCCTGCAGTTAGCACGCTAAAGGGCACCTGAAGGTCAAATTACAAATGTTTTAATGTCAGACTCAATGGGCTTCATGAGGAAGTGACTGAGAGCATCTGGGACCTTCTTTTCAACTCCCCAAATTCCAGGCCTTAGTAATCAGTCAACTTCTTGGGTTCCAGCAGCAGCACCAGGGTTTTCAAGCCTGTTGGATGAAGCACACCCAAGGAGGTTAAGTCACAGGAGGACCTCAGTAAGACCATAAAAACTTTCTAACCTCAGATGGTGGGATCACTGTTACACTGAACAAACCATACACAAACCTATATCCTTAGGTGGTCTCAAATGGTTTCCCTCTACTCCCCAGCACTCATGTTCCATTCATCTACTTGACAAATATTCTCAGTGGTCCATTCAATGACAAAGGTCACAGGAACTATCCTCTATAACCACCCCACATATACACACAACCTAAAGAAGAGATTAAAATCTGCTTGTGCTAAATCTCTCATCAACGTTGGATTAGGTAACTAGAACCAACAAATCCTCAACAACTCATCATTAACCTTGAAAGAACACTAAAAGCCAGAGAGATTATATTCCTACTAGGAATATACTAGTCTCAATATCAATGCACATATACCAGAGAAAATTCTACTTATATATCTCTAATGAGAAAAATACTTAATCTCCATTTCTTCACTCATTGATGAGAAAAACACTGATAATCTACATTACAACTACAACTACAGTGGGAAAAAAACCAATCTATTTTCTTGGAATCCTTAAAATGCCACATAAAATGCAAAATCTCTGGCAGACCTTTCTACTCATCTTACAGGGTTCACTGAACAAATACATAAAGGCAACTCCACCTTCTATCACAAACCAATTCTGAGCCACATCTCATCATCAAATTCCCAGGCCACAGACATTTTCCACATTAATCTGGATTCAAAAGAAGTTCTCTGAATGAGAGTAACATTTACTGCCATGATCTCTTTACCTTATTTATGTGCACTTAAAAAATCTAGGGAACTGGGCGCCTGGGTGGCTCAGTTGGTTAAGCGACTGCCTTTGGCTCAGGTCATGGTCCTGGAGTCCCGGGATCGAGTCCCGCGTGGGGCTCCCTGCTCAGCAGGGAGTCTGCTTCTCCCTCTGACCCTCACCCCTCTCATGCTCTCTGTCTCTCATTCTCTCTCAAATAAATAAATAAAATCTTAAAAAAAAAAAAAAAAATCTAGGGAACTGGGGTGCCTGGATAGCTCAGTCCTTAAGCATCTGCCTTCGGCTCAGGTCATGATCCCAGGGTCCTGGGATGGAGCCCCAGGGGTTCCCTGCTCAGCGGGGAGTCTGCTTCTCCCTCCCCCACTCCCCCTGCTTGTGTTCCCTCTCTCGCTGTCAAATAAATGGATAAAATCTTAAAAAAAAAAAAAAAAAATCTAGGGAATAGACTAACCAGCAAAAGCAGAAAAAGCATCAAGCAGGGGATGCTTCTGAGAGTGATCCCACTCTTTTACAATAATGACTTACTAAAGATCAAATAAATTACTTGTTTTGAACTTAACTACACTCTTTCAAAAGAGAGCTGGTATAATTGTTGGTAAGGGGAAAAAAATTAGAAAGAGATAGTCTTACCATAACATCCAGCAATCACACTCCTAGGTATTTACCCAACTGATCTGAAAACTTATGTCCACACAAAACCCACACACAAATGTTTACAGCAGTTTTATTCATAATCACCAAAAGATGGAAGCAACTAAGATGCCCTTCAATAGATAAATGGATAAACAAACTTTGACACATCTGTACAGTGGAATATTATTCAGCAATAAAAGGAAATGAGCTATTAAGCCACAAAAAGACATGAATGAATCTTAAACGCACATTGTTAAGTGAAAGAAGCTTGTCTCAAAAGGCTACACACTGCATGATCTTAATTATGTGATATTCTGGAAAAGGCAAAACTAGAGAGATGGTGAAAAGGTCAATAGTTGCTGAGGTGGGGGAAAGATCATGGAAGAAAAAGGGGAAGGACTGAACTGGTGAAACAAGGATTCTGTACAATACTGTAATGATGGATACAAGGCACTATATTTGTTAAAATCCACAGAGGCACTAAATTTGTTAAAACCCACAGAATTTAAGAACACAAAGAATAAGCCAATGGGGCTCCTGGGTGGCTCAATGGTTTAAGCACCTGCCTTCTGCTCAGGTCCTCAGGTCATGATCCTGGAGTCTGGCTCCCTGCTCAGCAGGGAGTCTCCTTTTCCCTCTCCCTCTGCTGCTCCCTCTCCCTCTACTCCTCGCCCAGCTTGTGCACTCTCTCTCTCCCCCTCTCAAATAAATAAATAAAATCTTTAAAAAAGAATAAGCCTTAATGTATGCAAATTTTTAAGATATCATCGAGGAGGTGGGAGGATCCCAGGATGGATGGAGGCAGAAGGCAACAAAACAATCTGTTACAAATAGATAAAGCAAGTCAATGAAGGGAGTGTGGGTCCAGGTTGGCAATTCTGATAGTGCTATACCTGTATACTAGAATGAAATCATTTAAGCCAATGGATGGCAGATGGTAGGAGACAGGTCTCTCACTGTTAGAGTGAGAAATCACACACAAAAAAAAGGCGGCGGCTAGAATGATGCAATGTGGTAATGGATTTGAGTTGGAGACATCAGTATGAACTCACATTTAGCTTAATAAAGTTACACAAGAAAATAATAATAGATACATGTAATATACACTGGACAAGTATACAGATATCTATTTCCCTGCCCTGTTAGCTGAAAAGGCAACACCCAGTAGCAATGAGCACACCTAGCACCCAAACAGTGGCTTGTAATACCATTCTCCAATAAAAGAAACAGGACTCCCTGGAGACATGGTTGATTCTAGGGCTAGGGTAGGAAATAGAGAAGATAAACCTGGAACATCCTGTAGTGCCAAAAAGTACAGAAGTACTAGGGAAAAACCCACCCACAAGAATGGGGAAATGTCAAAGGAAAACAGGAGCTAACTGAATCAGCTACCAGTGGCCAAAGCGAAAACAATTTGAGCACTAAAATAAAGCAGTGATGGGGGCCTGGGTGGCTCAGTAGTTAAGCGTCTGCCTTCAGCTCAGGTCATGACCCCAGGGTCCTGGGATCGAGCCCCGCATCGGGCTCCCTGCTCAGCGGGAAGCCTGCTTCTCCCTCTCCTGCTCCCCCTGCTTGTGTTCCCTCTCTCGCTGTGTTTCTCTCTGTCAAATAAATAAATAAAATCTTTAAAATAAAGCAGTGATGAATTATAACCCAAAGTGTAAAATAAATAACTATGAATCCATACTGATAAAAAATAAATAACTGAGGGACGCCTGGGTGGCTCAGTCGGTTAAGCGTCTGCCTTCAGCTCAGGTCACGATCCCAGGGTCCTGGGATCGAGTCCCGCATCGGGCTCCCTGCTCCGCGGGGAGCTTGCTTCTCCCTCTGCCTCTCTCTCTATATATATATCTCTCATGAATAAATAAAATCTTTAAAAAATATAATAATAATAAATAAATAAATAAATAACTGAATAAACAGGGGAGAAAAGACAAATCTCTGATGTAGAAGAATTCCAAATAATTTACGCAGATACTCTGCATATCTTTCTACTCCTTAGGTATGGGCTGTACACAGAGACTTCCTTCCAATATGGAAGGGGTGGGGAGACCTCTACAGAGGAGAAATGTGACACACACACTCCCTCAGCCGAGATATTAAGGTCAACATCAAGTCATAAACCATGTTGATATTACATACCCTTAATATGATGTGATGAAAATAACTTATCGCCGTGGTCTTCCTCCCCCAAACACATAACCACAATCTAATCATGAGAAAAACATCAAATACCAATGAAGGGATATTCTACAAAATACTTGACCAGTACTCATCAAAATAGTCTAGGTCACCAAAACCAATCAGTCTGAGAAACCATCAGAGGCAAGAGGAAACGTGACTACTAAATATAAGGTGGTGTGCTGAACAGAAGTCTTTAACAAGAACAGTAGATAAAAACTAAGGTAATCAGAATGAAATACAGACTTTAATTAATAATGTACCAACATTAGCTCATTAATATAACAAATCTACCTTAGTAATGTAAGACACTAATAACAGGAGCAAAAAGTATGTAGAAAAAAATTGCTAATGAAGGTTGTCTCCAAGCACATGAGAAACTATAAACTGCTTGAATATTTGAACTTTAAACAAACAAGTTCATGTTTTCAGTAAAGAAAAAAGGGCTTTTTAAAGCGAGAATAGGGGCACCTGGTGGCTCAGTTGGTTGAGCACCCAACTCTTGGCTTCTATTGAGGTCAGGTCATGATCTCAGGGTCTGAACACTGGGCATGAAGCCTGGTTAAGATTCTCTCTCTCCCGGGCGCCTGGGTGGCTCAGTTGGTTAAGCGACTGCCTTCGGCTCAGGTCGTGATCCTGGAGTCCCAGGATCGAGTCCCACGTCGGGCTCCCTGCTCGGCGGGGAGTCTCCCTCTCTCTCTGACCCTCCCCCCTCTCATGCGCTCTATCTCATTCTCTCTCTCTCAAATAAATAAATAAAATCTTAAAAAAAAAGATTCTCTCTCTCCCTCTCCTTCTGTGCCCCCCTCCCCACTCCTGCACACAAGTGCATGCACAAGCTCTCTCTCTAAAATAAATAAATAAATGTTAAAAAATAAATAAAAAAGAGAGAGTAAAGCAGAGAGGGTTAAAGTAGAAATGGAAAGAATAAATTTTCTATCCAAGCATTCTACAGCTTTTCAAAGGATACAGGAGTAACAATTCAATTTCAGTCTCAGGTTTTCAATTATTGTCAATTCAGATGGTTACTTTTTTTTTTTAAGATTTTATTCATTTATTTGAGAGAGAGTGAGCCACACACGCACAATCGGGGGGGAGGGGGAGAGGGAGAAGCAGACTCCTCACTGAGTGGGGAGCCCAATGCGGAGCTCGATCCCAGGACTCCAGAATCATGACCTGAGCCAAACGCAGACACTTAACTGACTGAGCCACCTAGGTGCCCCAATTCAGACAGTTACTTAAGCAATGAAGGAAAATGTCTAGAAATACATTTTTTTAATTTCCAAAATTTCAATAGCTTATTCACAAAAGCAAGGCATTTTCTTTTTTTTTTTTTTTTTAAAGATTTTAATTATTTGACAGAGAGATAACAAGAGCAGGAACACAAGCAGGGGGAGTGGGAGAGGGAGACGCAGGCTTCCTGCCGAGCAGGGAGCCCGATATGGGACTCGATCCCGGGACCCTGGGATCATGACCTGAGCTGAAGGCAGACGCTTAATGACTGAGCCACCCAGGCGCCCAAGGCATTTTCAAAACTTAAAAATGTTGGCCCCGGGGCACTTGAGTGGCTCAGTTGTTAAGTGTCTGCCTTCGGCTCAGGTCATGATCCCAGGGTCCTGGGACTGAGCCCCACATCGGGCTCCCTGCTCAGCCAGAATCCTGCTTCTCCCTCTCCCATTCCCCCTGCTTGTGTTCCCTCTCTTGCTGTGTCTCTGTCAAATAAATAAATAAATAATCTTTTTTAAAAAAATGTTGGCCCCTAACACAGATACCACACAGATTCTGGTGAATCTATTATAATTCACTTTGATAACATTATTCTAGTGCATATGTTAAAGAGCATACCAGATTCTAGTGAATTATCTATGGTTCCATAGTGAGTAAATGGCATTCAACAATTTGTTAGTGCCAAACAAAACTAGGCAATCAATACACCTGTGCATTTTCTCCTTGATGTGTAAGGACAGGGAATACAGCAAATTTAAAATTTAGTCTGTCAGAAACTGTCTGATCACAGAGATGTGTAGGCCAGTACCTTCCTCTCTTCTTGAGGATGGAAGCCAAATCACAAGTTATTCAAGAATCTCCTGGAACAGCCAAGTGCAGACTCACTCAAACATCATCACCTCCATCAGTTACCAGATTAAAGACAATAATGGCGTTCGTCTATGTGAACTCCAGATAGGTAACTGACTTTTCGTGAAGGAAGTTAAGTGGAGGGAGAGGGCAGGGAGCTGGTGTGAGTCTCTAACAGCTTATTTCCTTTCCCTTAATATCCTGAGGGACTAGCCCTGCAGTAAGACGATCATGCTGTATTTTTGTGAAGCTCTGCCAGCATCCTTTTTTACAAGGGTAATAAAGAATTTGTTTAAAGAACAGCAGTGGATAAGAGCTTATAGCCTTGAAACACAAGGTTAAGAAAAAACATCAACTTGATCCAACTTACAAGAGTTGTGCCGACGGCGGAAACTTTTGGACTGACTCAGGGACTCCGTGTGCCTGTCCACATAGCTCTTTGAGCACTGCTGCTGCTGTGGGGAAACAGCAACATCCTGACTCTTCACGTCTGTCCTCTTAGGGATATTCTGAGGGGCACTGCTGGAAGAGGCTGGCTTCTTCACCAGCTTGCCCATGCCATTCTGACTGATACCCATTTGGTACCCAACACCAGATGGGCCTAATTCTGTCTGATGAAGGTCTCCAAAATGTTGGTTTTCTCCAGGACCTGGTATCTCCAGAATTTTTAATTCCGTAATGTCACCTGCCCTGAAATACACAAAAGAGTCCAAGTCTCAAAACTGTAATAGTGTTACAACCAATGTTCATAGCAGCATACTTCACAATAGCCAAAAGGTGCAAACCCAAGTGTCCCCTATAAGATGAATGGATAAACAAAATATGGTAAAGACATACAGTGAAATATTTACTCAGCCTTTAAAAGGAGGCAAATTCTGACACGTGCTACAACATGGATGAACCTTGAAGACACTACTGCTAAGTAAAATAAGCCATCACAAAAGGACAATTATTAAATGATCCCACTTATATGAGATATCTAGAATAGTCAAATTCATAGCGAAAGAAAGTAAAAAAGTGGTTATCAGGGCTAGAGGAAGGGGGACTGTAGTTCGTTTTAATGGGGTATGAAGTTTCAATGTGGAAGGATAGAAAGTTCTGGAGATGGATAGTGGTGATGGTTGCACATTATGTGAATGTACTTAATACCACTGAACTGTACACTGAAAAATGGTTAAAAGGGTAAATTTTGGGGCGCCTGGGTGGTTCAGTCGTTAAGCATCTGCCTTCGGCTCAGGTCATGATCCCAGGGTAAATTTGGGGGCGCCTGGGTGGTTCAGTCGTTAAGCATCTGCCTTCGGCTCAGGTCATGATCCTGGGATCGAGCCCCGCATTGGGCTCCCTGCTTGGCAGGAAGCCTGCTTCTCCCCCTCCCACTCCCCTGCTTGTGTTCCCCCTCTGTCTGTCTCTCTCTCTCTGTTAAATAAATAAAATCTTTAAAAAAAAAAAAAAGGTAAATTTTATGTTATGGATATCTTACCACATTAAAAATACAGGCAATGTAAAAAAAAAAAAAAAACACCACAAAATGTCTAACAATAATAAAAATGATGAAATTGGGATCAATAGCAACCAGCTACACTTTTGCAGAGCTGTATTTTTTTTTTCTAACTGAAGTACAGTTGATATACAAATCCAGGTATACATAGTCATCTGATATTTATATATACCATGAAATGATCACCACAATAAGTCTAGTGACCATCTGTCACCATATAAAGTTATTTTATATTAATGACTATATTCCTTATGCTGTACTTTACATCCCTATTACTTACTTATAACTGGAAATCTGTACCTCTTAATGGCAGGGCTCCATTTCATTGAAGTATCAGAGACAAAAATGAGGAAAGGTGGTAAAATACTTAAAGACAAGGCTCAGGCACCAACAGTCAACTGACACAGCACTGGCCTTAAAGAGACCTATTGTTAATCACAAAACTATCACCAGCATCTTAGATTTCCAGAATGCCCAATGGCTTTCTTTTTTTCATTCATTCACACACTTTGTCATTCAATGAGCGTATATACAATACTTACTATATGGTAAGCCCTGTGCTAGGAATGGAATAAATAGAGATGAAAAGCAACACATGTCCAAAAAGGAACAGTCTGGTCAGTGGAAAAGACAAGTAGACAACCAAAAGTGTTAAATACTATGACAGAGGTGTGTATAGGGTACCAGAGATCCCCAAAGCAAAATATGTAAGTTACTTTGGCAGAGATGGATGAAACATTTAAGCAAAGCCTAAGTGGGGAGGGAAAGTAAGAGTTGGCCCTGCAGAGTATAGCAGGGAGAGGGGCATCACAGACCAAGGCTCAGAGATTGAGAAAATGTGGCCCACTTGAGGAACTGCCAAGTCATTGTGTTACTAACAGTAAAGATGCTTGTGGAGGGCCACCAGGAGGTAAAGTATGGAGGTAATCGGGGGCTAGATCATAATCACATTAGATTTTTCTGGTGGCTGTAGAGAAGGTGGAAAAACTAGAGGAAGGAACACCCGTTAGGAGACCAGGCAAGAAATAAGAGGGGATGAATAGGACAAGTGACAATGCAAAGGAAGAGGATGAACCCAAGAGACAATTTGGAATCCCTAGGGTTTGGCAACTAACTGAACATGAGGAACAAAGAGAAAGAAGGATTTACAATGATTCTAAGTTTCTAACTTGGAAAGGTGTCATTAGCCACCAATTAAGGGCAGATCTTTGGAAAAAGAAACCTGCAGGGGACATAATGAGTTCAGCTTTGAAAATCTTATAAGATATTTTCTGGGATATCCACCTGGAAATGGCCAATAGACAAAATAAGTGTCTGGAGTTCAGATAATGGGTCTTAAAGATTTGGAGTCTCATTAATGTAAGAAGTACACATGAAATGGTCTAGAGAGATTACAGACTAAGAAAAGAATCAAAAATAAAACTTGAATAAACCAATCTTAAAAAGTGAGTAGAAGAAAAGGAATGTGGTGCCGGGGGGATGTAAAGGAATGGAGGAATACATGGAAAGAAGACCCAAAGGGGTGACAGAGAAATTAAAGAGGGCACTTCAACACTTAGGGAGCATCTGAATAAAGTTAACATTAAGACACTGCCACTGAATTTGTCTATTAGGTCATTTATAACTTTGGCAAGAGCTAGTTCAACAAGATGATAAAGTTAGAAAAAAGTAACGGTGGGGGTAAGGAAGGACTAGAGAATGAGGCCACAAAGGGAATGAAAGCAGACTATTCTGCTCTGAAAAGAACTGTTGGTATAAAGAGAAGGGAAATGACAGGGCAACACCTAATGGCAAAAGCAAGCTGTGGAGGGTGTGTGGGTGTGTGGGTGTGTGGGGGTGTGGGTGTGCCTGTGTGTAGGTGGGTGTGGGTATGTAGGAGGGTGTGAACTGTGGGGGAAGGCTGGGAACGTTAGAATGCGAAGAGGAAAACAGGTATGAAGGTTGAAAATGAAGACACAAAAGAGACAGAACGGTGTCAAAGGAGACAGAAAAGGATAGTATATAAAGCATATGGGATAAGGGTAGCCTTGAACACAGAGGTTACGCCTTCTATTGAGACTTCAGAAGGGGTAAGACATTAATAATGGATACTCCTACAGAAAAGATTAAGTGAAGGTATTGTTCAGAAAGTCTTGTCTGACAGTTTTGTTGTTGTTGTTGCCATTTTAACCTAAAAATGGGAGATTTTGTGACAAACTGGTGAAAAGACGGATATGAAGACAACTGAACTTGAGATCCGCAAACACTAAGAAACATACGTTCCTGTAACTAAGGACATCAGCTACTGGCAACAGTGCGCTTCTGAAGATAAATTATAATACAAATCTACAAAGAGAGACACGTTTATGTGTGCGGGGGGAGATCAACAAAGGCCTTAGATATAAGAAAACACAAATAATAAAAGCCTAAAAAAATAGATGATTCTGAATTTGACCCATTTAAATAAGAATATTGAGTGCTTGACGAAGATAAGAAAAAGGTTCCACAACCCTAGTTCATTAGCTGAAAGCTAATTAGGACACAAAGTCTATACTGAAACAGCAGCTAGACTATAAGCGTTAAGACTGCAGAAATCTCACCCCTGACAAGACACTCCTCAAAAGCAGCCCTATGTAAGAGAATATTGGCAACTGGACCTAGATTCAAGCTCCACAAACCACCAGACTAGACTTGAAGAAATCAGTCAGGACACTCACCTGAAGGTGACTTCTGGCACGAGGCACTTCACTCCATTGTGGAAAGGCCGGGTGAGAGAAATGGTCTGGCTGATCTGATCCACTGCGGACACTCTTCCCTGATAGACCCCCAAGCTATCTCCACAGTTGATGGACACAATACTGCCCAGCCAATCCGTAGCCATGTTTCTGAAGTAAGACCACTGTAGAGAGAAGGAGCCATGCAAATCTTGAGAAACAGACAAACCTTTAATTAAATTCAGCATATATTATGTCAGGCTCTGAACCAGGTGTTGCTTAATAATACACATTCTGGGGGCGCCTGGGTGGCTCAGTCCATTAAGCATCTGACTCTTGATTTCGGCTCAGGTCATGATATCGGGGTTGTGGGATAGAACCCCAGGTCATGAGATAGGGCCCTGAACTCAGTTGGGAGTCTGCTTGGGATTCTTTTTCTCCTCCCTCTATCCCTCCCTGCCTGCCCCCCTCCCCCCGCTCCTGTGTGCTTGCACACTCTCTAATATATTAATCTTTTTATTTTTTTTAAAGATTTATTTGAGGGGCGCCAGGGTGGCTCAGTAATTAAGCGTCTGCCTTCAACTCAGGTCATGATCCTGGAGTCCCTGGATCGAGTCCCACATCGGGCTCCCTGCTTGGCAGGGAGTCTGCTTCTCCCTCTGACCCTCCCCCCTCTCATGTGCTCTCTCTCATTCTCTCTCTCTCAAATAAATAAATAAAATCTTTAAAAAAAAAAAATGAGCAAAAGTAGTTATCTGAATGACCAATAAACATAGGAAGGGCTGCTCAACATCATTAATTACCAGGGCAATGCAAATTAAAACACAACCAGACAACTCAAATGTCTATGATGGACGAATGTCTATGATGGACGAATGGATAAAATGTGGTAAACACATACAGTGGAGTATCATTCAGTCTTAAAAAGATATCTGATAGGGGTGCCTGGGTGGCTCAGTCGGTTGAGCATCTGCCTTCGGCTCAGGTCATGATCCCAGGGTCCTGGGATCGAGTCCCACATCAGGCACCCTGCTCCGCAGGAAGCCTGCTTCTCCCTCTCCCACTCCCCCTGCTTGTATTCCCTCTCTCACTGTCTCTCTGTCAAGTAAATAAATAAAATCTTAAAAAAAAAAAAAAAGATGCCTGATAATGTTACAGCATAGATGAATCCTGAAGACATTATGAGAAGTGAAATAAATAAGCCAGACATGAAAGGACAAATCATGTATGATTCCACTTGCATAAGGTTCCTAGAGTACTCAAGAGACTACTTATCACAACAGACTATTCAATCACAGAGACAGAAAGTAGAAGGTGGCTGCCACAACTGGGAGGAGCTAAATTATTGTTTGATGGGTACAGAATTTCAGTTTGGGAACCTGAAAAAGTTCTGGAGATGGATGGTGGTGATGAATGCATAACAATGTGAGTGTACTCAATGCCACTGAACTGTGCACTTAAAAATGGTAACTTTTATATGTATTTTACAACAACAAAAAATCATTAAGTTGGGGAAAACACCGTAAGATACCATTTTACACCCACTACAATGGTTTAAAATTAAAAGGGCTGATAGGTAATACCAAATGTGTGTGATGATGTGGAGCAACTGGAACCCCCTGACACTGCTGACAGTGTAAAATGATACAACTTTGGAAAAGAGTTTAGCAGTTTCTTATAATATTAAACACACACTTAGGACCCAAAATTTCATCCCCAGGATTTACCCAAGAAAAATGGAAACATATTCACAAAAGAACTTGTACACAAATGTACGCAGCAGCTTTATTCACAAAAGCAGGAAAAGTGGGAACAAGGAGAAGAGATAAACAAATTATGGTATTATACAACAGAATGCTACTCAACAACAAAAAGGAACAAAAGATGCTACAACAAAACTCTATGAATAGCTAATTCTATCTCTTTCTGGTATCTGCTAAAATGTCACCACCCCAAAGAGGTCTTCCCTGGCTACCCCAATCTAATGTCACTACCCATCACTCTTCAACACCTCACCTTCTGTTATGATCTCAAAATTCATCACTATATGAATTATCTTTTCGGTTTATGTTATATCACCCCACTAAAATGTAAGCTTCATGAGGGCAAGGAACCTTGTCTTGCTCAGCCAATAGAGTGCCTACAATGAAAAAGGAACTCAAATATTTATCCAATCAATGAATGAATTACATGTAATAAATCTGACAGAAGTTAATCACTGAAAATCTAGAGTATCTATTTATATCTAAATGTCGCAGCTCTTCTTGGAAATGGATCTAAAATCATAATACCCTTTAAGCATACTCTATGCATAATCCTATATAAGATATGGAATCTAGGGATGCCTGGGTGGCTCAGTCACTTAAGCGTCTGCCTTCAGCTCGGGTCATGATCTCAGGGTCCTGGGATCAAGACCCATCGGGGGACTGAGCTCCCCTGCTCAGTGGGGAGCCTGCTTCTCCCTCTCCCTGCTGCTCCCCTCCTGTGCAGGCTCTCTCTCTCTCTCAAATAAATAAAATCTTTATATATATATATATATATATATATGGAATCTAACACTGCCCTACACACAAAGGAAGTCAGGAAGTAGCACATGAATATAAACATAACATACAATATTAAGTACAAAATGAAATTATTGCTTAGCATTCTCCATGAAAAATAAAAAAACAGAATAGCATTTCAAGCTGTTTTCAAATATCAATTTCAGAAATACACCTACATAAGGGGCACCTGGGTGACTCAGTCGGTTAAGCTTCCAACTCTTGGTTTTGGCTCAGGTCATGATCTTGGGGTTGTGAGATCAAGCCCCACATGGGGCTCTGTGCTCAGTGCAGACTCAGTCTCTCTCTTGCGCTCTCTCTCCCCCCTCCTCCCCTCCTGCTCACTCGGCTCTCTCTCAAATAAATTATTTTTAAAAAAAAGAAACATACCTACATAAAATATAGAGTCTAACGAAGGAAAAATAAAAAACACTCTTAAAAAAAAAAAAAAAAGAGTATGACCCATCAGAAACACAAAAACCTAAAGAGAAAACTCAGGTTGTTTTCCAGTGCTCTAACTAAGCAATATCAGAAAACTATGCTGGGGGCGCCTGGGTGGCTCAGTTGGTTAGGCGACTGCCTTCGGCTCAGGTCATGATCCTGGAGTCCCAGGATCGAGTCCCATATCAGGCTCCTTGCTCAGCAGGGGGTCTGCTTCTCCCTCTGACCCTCCCCCCTCTCATGTGCTCTCTCTCTCTCTCATTCTCTCTCTCAAATAAATAAATAAAATCTTAAAAAAAAAAAAGAAAACTATGCTGACAGAACAGAAAATAATGTATTAGCAGGCTCAATCATAAGATTTTTTTTTTACATTTTATAAAAAATTTCAAACATACACAAATGTAGACAGAGCAGCATAATGAACCCTACATACCCATCACTTGGCTGCCACAATTATCAATCTAAGAATTTAAGAAATCAGGTGAATTTCCAATGCAACACAATTTCCACAACACTGATAATGGTAAAAGGCACAAAATACACACACTTTAGGCTTACTTCCCATGTCCTAACAAAACTCTGTCTACTTAATACCACAAAAGTATGAATTTCCTTTCCTATCATTTATACTCCATCATAATCCTACTCTGATGCTTGTATTAGATAGATGCAGAATGAAAGCTGTGATAACAAGAATTTTTTTCAATACCAGAAATTAATCAGAGGTGAAAAAGACTTACTTCTTCCTCATTCAACACGTTATCTTTAAGACTAATGCTAAGGCGGGGCGCCTGGGTGGCTCAGTCGTTAAGCGTCTGCCTTCAGCTCAGGTCATGGTGGGATCGAGCCCCGCATCCGGCTCCCTGCTCCTCGGGAACCCTGCTTCTCCCTCTCCCACTCCCGCCACTTGTGTTCCCTCTCTCACTGTGTCTCTCTCTGTCAAATAAATAAAATCTTTAAAAAAAAAAAAGACTAATGTTAAGGCGCAGCTGGGTAGCTCAATCGGTTAAGCCTGACTTTGGCTCAGGTCATGATCTTGGGGTCCTGGGACTGAGGATTGAACCCTGTGTCAGGTTCCATGTTCAGCAGGGAGTCTGCTTGTCCCTCTCCCTCTGCCCCTCCCTGCACTCGTGGGTGCTTTCGCTCTCTCAAGAAGGAAAAAAAAAGGCACTGATGTTGAACCAAAATAAAAAGCTTTTGCACAGGAAAGGAAACCAACAAAAGGAAAAGGCAACCTACTAATGGGAGAAGATATTTGCAAATGATATATCCAATACGGGTTTAATATCCAAAATATATAAAGAACGTACACAACAAATACAAATAATCTGATTAAAGATGGCCAAAGGACCTGAATAGACATTTTTCCAAAGAAGACATACAGATGGCTGACACATGAAAAGATATTCAACATCACTAATCATCAGGGAAATACAAATCAAAACTACAATGAGGTATCACCTCACACCTGTCAAAATAACCAGTATCAGAAAGACAAGAAACAACAAAGAATATGGAGAACAGGGAACCCTCATGCAGTTGGTGGGGATGCAAACTGGTGCAACCACTGTGGAAAACAGTACGGAAATTCCTAAAAAATTAAAAGTAGAAATACCACACAGGGCGCCTGGGTGGCTCTGTTGGTTAAGTGTCTGCCTCTGGCTCAGATCATGATCCCAGGGTCCTGGGATGGAGTCCCACACCAGGATCCCTGCTCAGTGGGGAGCCTGCTTATCCCTCTGCCCCTCCCCCTGCTCGTGCTTTTTTTCTCTCTCTCAAAATAAATAAATTTTTAAAAAGAAAAGATATATGTGCCCCTATATTCATTGCAGCATTATTTACAATAGTCAAGAAATGGAAATAAACCTAAGTGCACACTGATAGATGAATATATAAGATGTGGTATACACACACAACCACTGGAATATTACTCAGCCATCAAAAAGCATGAGAACTTGCCATTTGTGACAAAATGGATGGACCTAGAGGCCATTCTGCTATGGGAAATAAGTCTGATAAAGACAAATATCATATGACTTCACTTGCATGTAGAATATAAAAGACAAAACAAATGAACCAACAGAAAAAGAATCATAGAGAACGGGTGGTTGCCAAAGGGGCAGGGGTTAGGAGGATGGGCAAAATAGGTAAAGGGGATTAAGAGGTACAAAATTCCATTTACAAAATAAATAACAGGGATG